TGACTCTGAATTTATGAACAAGGTCCAAAACAGGTAGCCACTGGCAACCCACCTTTCGATAGGTTGGTGGCTGGGCTGCATGCGGGCACTAGTCTTTACGTTAAGCCCCTGCAGTTCTTCAGCCAACCTGGCTTGAGGGCGGGCGATGCCCGCCTTAAAACGAAAACCTGACCACAAGGTTTTTGTCGACTGGGCCCTCTCCCCTTAAGGCATGTGTGACACTCAACCCTCTTCTTATCATGGAGTGTTAGCCCAGTGGCCGAGGTGTTACCGGGTACAAGCCTGACTACCAATCCTACAATGCAGGCTTTAAACCACGATGAGCCCCTTCGAGCCTTAGAGAAAAATGCCAGTTAGCCAACGGGTTTCAAAATCCTACCCTTACCACTCAGCCCTCAGGTTTTTGCAACCCCTCCTAAGCCCACTGCTTTGGACTTTCAACCACCCTCCAACCACGGGGTGTTCACCCACTGCCTGAGCTCTCGCAGGGCACGAACCTGAGTGTCAATTTTGTGACATAGTGGGCATGGTTTTGGAAATCCAAAAAGATATATTTTTTGAACCTGAAATAACAATTAAAATGCCAAGAACTGCCTGATTCTTGGAAATTTAAAGAAGGCTCGCTCACTTTTTGCCGATCTGATGACCCCGTGCACTGGCAAAGCACAGACTATTGAATTCCTCCTCTATGCAACATATTTCCCTGCTCAAAATTTTCCTGTTGTTGATTGTGTTTCCGTCGAGAGAGAAAGCCCTGAAATTTATATGAACTCTTAACAAGTTATCCGAGTACACATTGCCTGTATGAGGAACTGTAATCACTTCGTAACATACACAACAGTACGTGACCAAAACATCTTGAGATTGCGAAATTTTACAACCACGTGCTCTGCTTTTGTTAATTACCATGGGGAAAACCTGTATGTCTCAAAATAGAAGAACTCAGAGCGCAAATTCACAGCGTACCCTAGCCCCTTAAGTGAAGTCGATATATCATTGTGCGTATGTCATCGCCTTCGAAGCTATCGTGTTGCCTCTCTTTCAATTCTGACGGTCATCGTTCTCCAAGGAGCACAAGACGGGTGCATTCTCCTGATAATTCATTATGTTTCCTTGAATAATACGTGAAGGAAAATTTGTAAAGGAGAAAAAAGGGGCGGGAAAGGTCGATGAAGTTTTTACCCCACGCGAATATCTAAAAACCACCATTTCCTGTTAGAAAATTGAAGTATGAATTATACCTCAGTTAAAGATTATCGTTAATATCCCCGAGTGAATGTCATTGAAGTTCATGGAAATTTTTTAATTGATAACACATGAATGCAATCACTTTTACTTTCTTTTAGTTAGTATGAACACTTAGTAAAATGTCAGCGACAACTTAGCTCATTTCTTTAACTCTTTTGTTTTACTCGACGCTTTCTCCAATTACTGAGTTAACAACGGAAAAACAGAGCGCTAATTAACGTAGCCTGTCGAACTGTTTTCGCTGATTTGAAAGATATGTTCCATGTTTATGGCTGTTGCCAGAAACAAAAGAAGGAGAAAAGAAAGAAAAAGTATATTTTGAGTATTTTTGTTATTATTCGTAAACTTTTGACAAACTTAGGTTGACGACATTGCTTTTTTTCAGGGTTAATGTATTCAACTGAGACATTTTAATCTAAACTGTCAATTGGTAGAAAACGCATTAGGATTAGAGCAATAATAACTCCTTATTTAAAAAAAAGAGAATGATATTTTCACTACAGCGCAAAAAAAATAATGCAGAAAGTGCTGTTTTTTTTTTTTTTTTGTTCCTTTCTTTTTTTGTTTTTGTTTTTTTTTTGGATGGTTCCTAATTAATTCAATTCAAAGATCTCTAAATTAAGGGCGCTAATTGGCTATAACAACAACTAATTGACTCCTTCAGAACTCACCACTATTACGCTCTTAAAAGTATCACAGGACTGCCGCCAAATTAGAGCCTTCTGGACTGCTGAAAGCAATATCATTATACCTTGAGTTGAAAGCTTCATTCTGATTCACCATGTTTTCTAGGCTTATCGCTTGCATTTTATCCGCTTATTTAGCTACGATGGCTCAGGCGATCTGCTCTCAAGGTTAGTCCAATTAAATTCGTGTTTAACAATACTATTTTTAATTTGACGACAGTGCTTTTTGAATACGCCAATATCGTTTTAAACAATGATTCAAGCCTTTATTCCTAAATTATTTCTGGCAACTTTTTCGCTTGGCATACCTATTGCGATTATACTTTAAGTTTTTTTTGTTGTTTATTCATTTCCTTCTGAAATGGAAAGCAGGCACAGTACTTGATTACCGGCGATGGCAGGCTTCCTCTGAATGCACAGCGTTCAAATATGTTCCATCCATCATTAAAAAAAAAAAAAAGAATCCTCCCCCGAAAAATGACAACAGCAACATCAAAGCAAAACATTTGCTTTGATATGCTGTAAAAACTACCCAGATCAAGAGGAACAGCGAAGTTGACATTTATCAAACGAAGTTAAGAATTTGGATGGCCTAATCTGAAACAACCTCAAAGCTAAAAGTATCACAAATGGTTAAATTCCTTTTGTTTGGCTATTTACATGAGCTCATGACCTCTGTGGTAACTAAATTTATTTTCCTCTCTAGGATCAAACCTTCTGTATGGAGATGAAATCTGTTACACATCAAAGCATATCCGGAAACGTAGCTTCATGAAAGACACCTTCAAGTATTTAGATATCCCTCCCGTTGAGGCAATCACCGTACATGATGACTTCGATTGCCACTCGAAATGTCTGGAAAATTCAAAGTGCCATTCTATTAACGTAGCTGCTTCTAAAGCGGCTGATGGAAAGCTTTGGTGTGAGTTGCTGTCTTCGGATAAGTACAAAAACTTTACCATGTACCATGTTAACCAAACTTCCAATCATTATTTTCGGAAGGTTAGTGACTTTGTGATAAGCTCGTGATATGTAGGGGTTTTTAAGGACAACAACTTCTCTATTTAACTAAAGATGAAACGTTACTGTGAAATATTGGGGGAAAATATTAAAAGTATACAAACACAAAAGACAAAAATCTTCCCCACTCCCTTCACCCAGAAATTGAAATTATGATTCACTTTAGGCCACGAGGAAGAAGGAATTGTGACGCTGTGAAAATTATTTAGTGACTTGTAAAACAAAAGGACACTGGGAGAAATAAAGCGATATTTAGGATCCTAGTTTTGGGCATATATTGATGGAGTGTGTCAGTTGCTTTTTTTAAAATGCACTCATAAACGACCTTTGTCTTTGTGATTCGTCTTTGCAGTCACCCTGTTCCTCCTTCCCCTGTAAAAATGGTGCTACCTGCGTCCCAAATTATGACGACGACACGTTCCACTGCATCTGCAAGAAAGGGTTCAGCTCTAAATTGTGCAGAACCGGTACATATCGAAGAAACTTTGTTTTCTTTTGTTGTTTGCTTTGTCGTTGTTACTTCTCGCTCAACATGGAATTTAGAAGTGGGACCTACGTTTATCGAGAGAACCATTTTATTCCATGGGTTATTAGTCTGGGATACATCTTATTTTACGATCTTAAGCGCATATTTGCTGATTACGGAATTCTTTTATGTGATCTGGCTTCAGCAAAACCGAATCATATTCAAATGATCTTGGTCGTCCATTTGTACGATGGTTCTTGATTACTTTAGAGCTTTTCCATGAATAAAATTTACCTTTTGCATTGTTAGTTTTTTATTTCTACTTGCTTGTTTCTTTACCGAGAATTATGGTGTATTTCTTTTTTTTTTTTTTTTTTTTTTCCTTAACTGGTTTTTATTATGTTTTGTCTTTTGTGTTATTGTCATTTGTGCCGTCGAATTATCGTCATTTAAATATTCCAAGACTGTCAATAACAGCAACACAAGAATTGCTGCATATTAAAAAGCATCTCGACTTACTGAGCTAACATTTGAACTTTAACATGTTTTTTTACAGCTGTTGCCAGCTCTTGCAAAGAAGCGTATGATTTACACAAGTGAGTACCACAATAATGCTTAAACAGTTTCAAACTCAAAGAACACAAATAACAATTAAACATGGTCTGATCAGAAGACCTTAACGAGTCCGTCTGATTTTCTCATAAAGCTGCCGTGTCTTTGCAAATGCGAAAAATTAGCTGGAAAAAATTGGAAATTAAAATAATTAAAATAAATGAAATAAAATATGATAAATTAAATCCATCTATCCATGAACATGTACAAAATTTTAAAAATTCAAGGTAAAACTCAATGATATGAGCTGTAGTTTATTTAACGAATAAATAAGCCTTGACTGTGCTCTGTTTTGTTGGAAAGCTCGCAGGAAGCTGCAAGAGCACAAAAGAAGTGTAGGGAGACGCAGTCGAGCGTTTCTCCCCATTTCTTAAGCTGGAATTTTAACAGTTATTCTTGTTTGGCTATAATTTTCATCATTCCTGTTTTGTTCTGTTTTGGTTTTTGGAGGCGAAACTTTATATACCAAACGGGTGTTAGCTGTGTTTGATTTTATTAATGTTCGTAAGCTTGCAATATAACCGAGCGTGAAAACCTTCAAAACTCGGATTGTTTATTTCGTTTTCTCTTTTTGTCTCTCCTCACGTTATGATAACGTAAACTACGGCGCTTGCCATGTTTACAAACCTTTATTTTATTCTCCTGTTGCTATTTTCCGGCTCGCTTGTTCTGGAATTTAATTTTTAGGTGACGTAAAAAACCTTGAGAGTCAAGTCCGGGAAATCGTGGGACATAGTACAATTTGGCAATTGGCGTGACAGCTTTAGCTCAGCTCCGATACTCTGATATAGCACGCTCTTTCAACCAATGAGAGCGCGCGTTATATCCGAACTTTATTATAAATTCTCTTGACAGTATGCATGCGTGAAATGCAAAGTTAAGCAGTTTCATCTTGATCCTTTGTTTTTCTTTTCCATAGTTTTACACAAGATGTGGTGGCGAGAATAAAACTTCCAGCAGCAAACTTTATGGTTCAGTGTCACAAAGAACTTTCTGGATGTGGTGGTGGTGGATGGACACCGGTTATGAAGATTGATGGCAGTAAGGTGTGATTTACATTTTCTTCTTGAGAAACATTGATTTGCACTTTAATTTATATTCACTTGATTAATTCATTACTTCCTAATCATTTAACTTTTAAATACATATTTTATAATTTCAAAAATAAGCCTCATTTTTCATCTCTGGTCAATCTGCGATCTTTAGGTATTTATCGTCTGGGATGGGTAAAGGACGGGGATCACACTGTTTTCCGGGGAAACGGAAAAGCATAAGTCGTCCCTTACAGAGTATAAGGGAGAAGGGGGGGGGGGGGGGTTTGGAGAATTGACATCTAATTAACTGACAGTGTGAGGGGAGGAGGGATAATAAAAATATTATATATGCGTTATTGACCAAGTGCGAGGTCAATATGGCTGGATATTGGCTGAGCTTTTTTTTTTTTTTTTACGTTTTTATGGACCGAGAGGAAGTAGTAAACCCAAGGAAGTTGTCTAGTTTTCTTTGCCACCTTTTGAGATTGTCCAAAAATTATAAACTTTATGTGTCCGCTCCAGAGCAGGCAATCCCGCTCGGGTAGCCAATCAGAACACGGTACTCACTTCTATTGCCCACTGGCACTGCCAGCAATATAATAAATAGCCATATTGGGGAATCAGGTTAATTTTATCATAAATAGACAAAATTCCTCCTAGCCCACACAGGTGATAAATAATGACCTTCCCAAATCAGCTTATCAAAATCTAATTTTCTTGAATACTTGCTTGAATTGTTTGCAACTACATAAAATATCATCCATTTCGACCCAGACCACTTTTCATTACGATTCAAAATACTGGAAGAACAAAATAGATTACAACCGTCATGCTGGAAAGACTGGATTTGACGATCAGGAAACCAAGCTTCCTACCTACTGGAACAGCTCTTTTGACAAAATCTGCCTCGGTATGAAAATTGGTGAGCAGCGCAGGTTCATTCTTATCAACAAGCAAGCTGAATCACTTTACTCACTGATTGCCGATGGGGAGTACCGTGCTACCTCCTTAGGTCGAGATACTTGGAAGTCGCTGGTTGGTCCTGAAGCATCATTGCAAAATTTGTGCAACAAAGAAGGATTCAATGCTGCAGAATACAGCGGAACGTCCATATATGCTCATGTAAGAATAGGTGTGATATCAAATGAACTTAACAACTGTGCAGGATGCGACTCCAGGCTTGGATTTGGCGGAGGAGGACAACACGATGACTCCAACACGTGTGGAAACGAAGCTTATTATCTAGCAGATAACGGGAACAAAAAAATCAAAGCAATGGGATACATATTTGTGCAGTAGTATTTGGAAGGAACGATATAAAGTTTCCTGTCACAAGTACAACTTTCTATTGTCATTTTTTATGTCTTACGTACAATCTTCGTAGTTGTTGTCGGCGCTATCATTATCGCTAGTATGTTTTTTTTCTCTTTTAATTATATTCCCAATGTAAAAGAACTGTAACAAAAAGAACAACCGCCCTCACTATTTTATTTTTCAACTGATGCGCTGGAGACCAAGATACCCACCTGTTAGGTCAAATCTTTCTCCAAAAATTCCCGCGGCATGGAGATCTACGAAAACGTTACTTGCAATGTCATAAAACAACGCGCCAACTGTACTCACTGACTTCTGATGAGCAATGTTGCATTATCCCACTTAGAGGCATCACTTGGAAATAGTTTGTTTGTTCACAAGTCTGTTAACTATCTTACCGTAGCAAAGGACTAAAAAAAAGAAGTTCACATATCCAGGGCTTCTAGAATCAGGTTAAGTAGAAGAGGAATCGCATTTATTTTATTTCATTATTTATTTTGTTTGTTTGCTTATTTTTCATTTTTTAATTATAATACATAAGTACAAATGAAAAGAATTCACAAACAGTAATGCAATATAATATAACTGAAAATTTAACTTGTGGCGAGGAAACCTGTAGGAAAACCAAAAGGCGTATATGAGCTACAGAATCCTCATATTTTGCAAAAGTAAGGTATTAGTTATATGGCGTGATTTCGACACAAAATATTTTGGGTTGAAAAGGAAATTAAAAAGGACACACACTTAAAACAACCACAGCAATAGCAGGCACTCAAAGAAACATATACCCAACTAGCTTGAGAAAAGTAAGAAAAAAAACGGGAATGAGAGTAATGTTTGCAATTTAGACTTAAACAGAGAAAGTGTGCCAAAATTTTGGATTACTATATTTAGAGAATTGAAAAAGTTAAGTCTTTGGAAACACTGGTGATGTTGCACTCAGCTGGGATTCAGATAATGGCGTCGGAAACAAAAACGCCATAGGTTACATTTTTCTTCCAATAAAAAGAGACTGTCTGCAGCTACCATTATGCACATAGCTGACCTCCTACGTACCCGCCAACTCATTGAGGGTTTTGTTTAACCCTTTAACTCGCAGAAGTAATTAACATGAAACTTCTCCCTATAATATCCATAAATTTTTCAGCAAACAATGAGAATATTCATACTTATTAATTAGAAGCTTCTATCTTGATTTAGCACCAAGTTTTCGTAACTTATTTACAGAGAAATGTGAGAATCAAAAATCTGATCCCGGGAATAAAAGGGTTAAAAGAATTATGATTGTAATTACAAAATTTAGTTCACTTTTGATCAGCTTTCTCATACAAGAGAATATAAACTGATCTGTTTCCTCGTGAAATTTACCTTTTGGACTTTGGATATTAGTTGTTTGGACACTCGATTTGAGTATTTGCCGGAGGGTGTGGTTGGTACAAAAAAATTAGCATGTTTTCCGCATTCTAGACAAACTTTGAGGACATTGGAGGCAGTTATTAACTTGTTTATCGATGGGATTTGTTTCGGGAAACTAAACCAAACCTTACCTGTATTTATAATAGCCCGATAATTGAAATCTACTTATAACCGTTAGAAGTTCTGAAAAACGAATTTGCTTATATATCATCGAGAATTTTGTTAGAAAATTTCTTAACAATAACTTCACCTCCGATTCTTCTCAGAGTGCTGCTCGAAGGAAAAATTGTTTGTGTTTTAAATTACCGTACATCGGTCCTTTTTCCGTCGAAACGCAACCCAAAATTAAGAAATTAGTTAGCACACCCAGTTTAACATTAAGAATTGGTTTGGGGTCAAGGATCCTATCCCTGCGGGTTTACGATCGCGAGTTATTTATAAGTTTTCATGAGCAGGCTGTAGTGCCTGTTATGTCGGTGAAACCAACAGACACGTCGCCACTCGCATCCCCACAAGCTTCCAATTGAAAATTGTCATGAAGCCATGCACATCTTTTGGGAGCAGCCGTCTTTAAATTCGCAGGTCGAACATCTTAATTTATCCCTTTCATACTAATTAGTCTCCCTTCTTAGCTTAAATAGTTTGACTCTTTTTTGTTGTTAATTTATTCTTGTTAACATCTCAGTTTGTTACACTATTTATTGCATAATTTCATTTTATTTTTCGTTATACAGCTGACGATGTATTAAGTATGTCAAAAAACGAACTTCAAAAGCATCATATGGTTCATCAGTTATATCATAAATGTTTTGAGTTATGGACGCTTTCGACGAGCACTGTCTTTTTTCTTTTTATTTCTTTTTTCAAAGAATATCATTCACTTCCTGAACAGTATCGCTGTTGGAGGATGTGCTCCATTTTAGCAATAACGGAGATTTTTAATGGATTGCGATGAATGGAATTCTCATGAGGCCATTGTTCAAACCGATGACCTCCCTTATTCCACAATGTAAATCAAGACGAAATTTACGCAAATGAAACTTCAGGTTTATATTTTATTAGCAATAGCGCAGAAAAGATAGGCCTCCTCGCAGGCATAACTTTCGACATATTTACGATCACTATCTACCTGCGCTGTAACACCTTAATATCAAACGAAACTAATAGGAATGTCAACGCTGTGCGGAAATTGCACGTTGGATGGGTATGATGCGATATTCCCATCAAAAAACTAGAATTGGCCAATTTTTCATCAAGACAAATGGTTAATTGAGACTTGGGGTTGTTGGATGTGTAACCGACAATAGAATTTACCTGATCTCTCTAAGGCTGTGAAATTGTGAAATAATCTTATGATCCTCTTACTCTCTTTTCATTGGTAGCTAATAAAAATTCACTTTTCTATAGTTCCCCCTTTATAATTTGTTGATCCCCCCTAAAATCCTTCCCCCCCCCCATCCCCAGCTTCTAATCACTGATCTCTTAGTATTTATTTATTTTTATTCCATCTATAAACCCTTTAACTCCCAGAAATGTTTAACACGTAACTTCTCCCTCATCCAGCAAAAAAGTAAGGAGAATACTCAAACTTATCATTTAGAGTTTGTTATCTTGATCTGACGCCAAATTCTCCTGACTATCTACCAAGAAATGTGTAACAGCTGGAGGGGAGAAAAAACAATCAGATCTTGGGAGCCAAATTTTGAGCATTGCTAAATAATCTTGACGCGGAAATAATGCTCCGGAAAGTTTTGAAACTAGCCGGGATCATACTAAAATTAACAAGATTGGCATGCAGTAACATCTTTCAAGCACCAAAATGAATTGATGTGAGACCGGAATATTACGTCCAATCATCTCCCTCACAATCTGTCAGTAAAACACTAAGGAGTGGAAGATTATCTGTTGGATAAATAAGTTTGTTTTCTTATTTTCTAAAAGATCTTAAGTTCACACTATTTGGTTTATCTTTTTATCTTTAGTGAACATTTTTTGCTAGTCGTGTTTTGCGTAATTTGAACGGAAACTAATTCTTAACTCTCTCTTTTACTTTCCTAGCTTTGATCACTCGCTGAAATTGACTGCCGAATTTGCGTTTTAGATATGTTCATAATGTTGGCTCACAGTATTATCCCGGTATGATTACGTTGACATCCTGGTTTGTTTCAGCTCATCTCGTTTCATACTCGTGTTATTTGGTTCGTTTTCTTTTGTAAGGAGAAGCACAATACATGAACTCGGATTATCTGTCATGATCAAGTTTTAATCGTAATTCTCATTCTTCTATTCAACATCCATATATCCAGGTAATTCCATAAGGGAACAGCATAGCGATAATAAATAAATAAACGGTAAAGCTTGAGTCTCATTCAGCCAAGTGATTAAAATAGGTTTATAGATATCGACCTCTCCTTCGAAGACCAACAGCTAAGTCAGTGCTTGTGACCCAAAGAACATTCTGATGGTGTGAGACCCATGCTGTATGCCACAGTGGACGTGTTAACGGACAAAAATGTATCCCATGACTGTTATGTTTTTTTCGCCATTATCTGGTGAATACTGAGCTACATTTCCACATCTGTTGGACCTGAGATGAGATCCATCTATGCCGAATCCAATTCTCGAGTCGCACGAACTACAGTCATTTTGTTCATTACTTATGATGCCGATTCTTGCCTTGGAACTAAAACCATCCGAACTGACCACATTGAACCCCTCCATGTTGCATTCTCTCTGCAAGGAGGCCTCTGAACCAATTAGAGTCTTCCACGTGTTACGACCCAGTGAAGTGACGCGGCGTTGCCCGTCAGCGATCAGTGAAAATAATGAGCTTGCCTCCTGTTCTACGGCAATGAAACTGACTTGTTGGTCGACTTTCATACCGAGGCAGATCTTTGTGAAGGATGTGTTCCAGTAGGTCATTAGCTTGGTTTCTCGTGAGTCGAACCCAGTCTGCCCTCCAACAGGATTGTATTCCAGTTGATTGGTCCAATACTCAGAGTCATAACGGAAGGTTTCCTGTGTGAATATGAATCGAAATGATATTACACACGAGATCTATTTTTAAAGTAATCTGGGGAAATAATTTTTCATAGCAAGAGTTATGAAGTAGTGGCCGTTCGTTTTACCCGCGAGCATGTATGTGTGCCGTAAAGCTGGACAAAATATTGGACACAACACATTCTAAAAAATCGTTAAAAAAGGCGCCTTCTGTTTAAAAAGTAATTCGATTATTATTGTTCCTTAGACACTAATCACACTTGGACCAACCAATGAAAGATTGATTGTAACTGAGAAGCAAACTCACAGCAAGTCATTTGCATTACTGTAGAGCTGTGAGGAAATCATCGTCGTTATTTTTTATTACCTTTTTGCCGTCAATCTTCATCACAAGCATCCAAGCACCTTGTCCGCATGCTCCAAGACTACAGTGAGGGCTTGTACTGACTCTGAGGATTTTAAATTGAATAGAATACTTAAATTGAGCTTTATCTCAATGTATTATTATCACTATTTTAATGGTGCGTTCATTTTCTATGTAAAATAAATGCTGTCCTAAATAACAGTAACAGTGCAACTCACGAGGTCGTCTGGTAAAGGTCTTGGCAGGACATTTCTAGAAAAAACAAGACAAAGCAAAAAAAAAAAAGCGAAATTAAGTTAAAGGTGAGATTTAAACAGAAGAATGAGATTTGCATCCGGTATTCGCTTGTTTCTTAAGTACATCCTTCACATCTTGAAGAAGGAGTTTTTTCTTTTGTTTTCTTTCTGTTGATTTTGGCACAACACAATTCAGTCGCAAAATCTACTTACCATCACAATCGGTACCATCCCCAGAATATCCCAGCTTACAGGTGCAACTGTAGGACCCCTCATTATTACTGCACAAAGCATTGACACTACATTTGTCTGTTCCTAAAGCACACTCGTCGACATCTGGAAAACACATCAAAGTTGTCTTACTTTTTCCTCTAAAGGTTCTTTCCTTGCGATTGTCTATCTTTTCACCTATTTATTTATATTTGAAAATTACAATTTTTCCTCATTGGGCGCTATTGCGCAAAGGGATTAATTGTCACACACCACGTGACATACCTTTGTGTATTCATAATTCCCATGATTCGCTTCCCTTTTTGTCACTGTTCAATCCACTTTCATCATTCTAGGAAATGAACTTCTCTCATGGCCAAAAACAGACAGTGTTATCGTTGTGTTGTTGGCGGGGAGAATTAAGGCCAATAAATTTAGTTTGTTTGGCTTAGAAAACCAAACTGCCTTAAAAAAGCGTTGGTTAAGTACGTTCATTCTCGCTAACATGATTTTTTTTAGGTAGTACTTACCGACTCCACACTCATGACCAGTAAAACCAATGACGCACAAACATCGGTAACCTCTTTCTGTAAAACCGGTTTGACAGGTTGCGTTGTTCTTGCAAGGGTTACTTGTACATGCGCTCTAAATTGAAAAAATAAAAAATCAAGCAAGTAATGGTCTATCATTTAGCGAGGTGGAGAAAATCAGAATATGAAATTTGAAGAAAACAACAGCAAAAAAACAAATAAAATCTTGATTAAGCGATAAATATTAATGTGGAAACAATAGAAATAAAACTATTTACAATACTATTAAAACTATTTACGATAGAAATAAACCTATTTACAATTACAAATAGAGTCATCTGTAAATAAAAACGTTGAAAGAAAAGAGCAATTCAGAGATACTAAACAGTCTGAAGGACTGATTCCATTTTTTTAAGCATTTATGAAGGTCTTAAAAGAACCAGATGACGCTTACTTAAAACCTGGTCCCTTGGTAACGCCAGGGCCTAAGATCAAACCTACCGATGTGCTACCTAAATCACTAAGAAGTCCTTCATATGAAAAATCGCCAAATAACACTCCGTTTACTCTTTCCAATTTCTCAGCCGATCCCTACCCTTAAGCGTTTTAACTGTGGAACAATAAATGACATTTATTTCTTTAATCATACGAAAGCGTATTTCACATACACTCTAAAACTGTGGCCTATTGAGGAAATTTCATGTGTTATAAACTTCTTTATCGAATTTTAAGATATCGTTAACAGTAGCTCCAAACATCTCTGGCGTGTCGCTGTCTGGAATGATGGGTTTTTCGCAGCGAAATTGATTTTTCGAAATTATAATTATCGCCTGGCATTTTGAATGATTTATTCTTATATCATTTTCTAAAGTATCATTTGTGCACGTGTGACGAGTCAGAGTTCCCTCAATTGAATATTTTTTTTTTCTTTTTTTGAAATAGTTACTCTACTAATAAAGCCATTTCTGGTTGGAAAATCAAACAACTTCGCTTACCCGTGCTCCATGGTAGACATAACTAGCATTTTCAACAAGGTCCTCTTTCTGTCCTTCATGAGTTGAATTATTCAGTTCGCAACTGCTTCCCTCATTTTCATTCCATATCTTAAAATTATAACTCACACAATTGGGTTCCAAATAGCAAAGTACTTCACAATGGTCTATTGTCTTGTCGACGTGTACTCCGATCACGTGATTCGTAAGACGTTTTCCTGGTAAAGCTAGCTCCGCCTTGAACTCCAACTGACGACATTCTCCTCAAGAAAAACAGTTATTATCAGTGAAAGCATATTTCTTCACCCTCCGCCAAAAATCATTAAAATTTTTAGCTTCTTTATTTATCTATTGATGTTTTGGTATTTTATTTCCCACGAAAAAAGAAACTTTTACGCCCAGTAACTGTGCGTCACCGTTCACTTTATATGATAAAAATCTGTGAACTAGCCCTCACCCACATTTTAAGGATCTCTAATACAGTTATGAATGTAAATTAAAAACAGTTTTCCTAAAATATTGACATAATAATGATAATGATGATTATAATCATGACGATATTAATAATTATAGCAAGATATTAATAGTTATAGTAAAAAGAGTAATGACTAATAATGGTAATAGGACTGAGTGGAGTCCAGTTCAGTCTGTAAACATGCGAGTGATAGACAAAATCGGACGACGGCGAATGATAACTTGCAGAATTGGACGACACGAAGTCCTGTTACGAATAAATCAATACTTCGAAAAAATTCAAGAAAGAAATCAGACATCTGCTATACGCAACGTATCAAAAAACAAAGGACAACAGCGCGTGCACATGTCGCCTACAGTCCATTTATACAGGCATGACGTGTTATTACACTGTCCGATTACAAGCATGACGCGTTCACTGTCCTATTAATAATAGTAATGAGACCTAGTGCAGTCCAGCTCGGTCTGCAAACATACGAGTGATTAAGAAAATTGAACGATCGCGAAGCAGGAGTGCGATTTGTTAATTACGAGTGTGATTACGGATCGAATTGGACGACACGAAGTCCTGTTATTAATTAATTGAAACTGTGAAAAATTTTTTGAGAAATGAACTAGAAATCGGTTATACGTTTTCATAAAAAAAATCAGTTAACTCGGCGAAATGCGAGACAACAACGCGCGCACATGATGCGTTCTGTCCACTTACACAGGCATGCGCGTACACTTTCCTATTATATTGGTGCTCAAGTCAGGCTGGTGATAACCAATCACGTTCAAGAATGTTGTTTTGATTAGTACCCAAATCGGGCTGGTGATAACCAATCGCTTTCGAGAATTTTGCTATGGCTTTGATAATAACCATTATTGAGATAATGGTGATGATGGGAATAATTTAAAACAACGCAAAATCCTGGGTTGTGTTATCAGCTATCATGTGTCCGAGTATTAAAATAAGAAAAAACATTACTCTCACAGGGAGATAGTACATGGTCCGTGCAGTATGTGCGTACGAATCAGAGAAATGCTATAAACAAATTTTTCATGAGCATTAACCTCTACATTCTATGTAATCCAAGATTTTTCATTCATTACTTAGCTGGACTTTGGCTTTCCTGTCTTATATTTCAAGTTATCGTTAATTTTGCAGCTGGTGGGTGCGTTTAACAGTGGCTGGTAGATCTGAATGAGTAACTGAACTATCCTTTACAATAAATTCGCACTTTTGTGTATTGCCTAGTGGAAAATGTAAGGAATAGTGTCTAGCATTTGGGAGAGCGAGTAACACAAATCGAAATTACTTTATCAGAAACACTCTTACCTGAAGAACAAACGATTACGTGCTGTATCACACAGAGGACAAGAGAAATGTAACGCACGATAAAATTAGCCACGTTAGCCGACTGATAATGCTTTGAGACAAGATTTGCGGTTGCTTTGCTTAACATTTCAAATTGTACACTTTTCCGATACGTTTGGTGAACAATTTTTTGAAATATGTTTCCTTACTTCGTCGTTAATAGTCGGCGTCAATAAATGGATTCTGCCTTTGTTACCTGTCGAGGCAAATAATTCCCTATGAGCCAAATCGTCTCGGTGTGAATTCAGTAACTTAATTAACTAAGGTAATTTTTTTCAAACAAAAACATTACAGTCTAAAACTCAAATTTATCAATTGCTTATCAACTCACATCGGCCTGTCCTTTATTTTTCCAGCGGCATAGCTAATCTAGACCTTGTTGGCAATTTACTTTTCGCAGCGTTTGGCTATTTATCACAAAAAGTCTTGTATGAATTATATGCGTGCAAAATAAATCTACATTTGGCTAGGACATAAGGGTAGTAAGGTTGAGGCTCAGCTGGGTATAAAGCCATAACTGTTTGGGTGACTGCATCAAATTTAATTAGCTTCTGTAACAGCCTTTGGGCAAAATTCATAACTCAATTACTTTTTTTCCCCCCTTTTTGTCGGTACTTTGAAATTTTTCAGGACGTTGCCTCCCAAAACGGTTTCTATTCAAAATGCAATATTTTCATGTCGTATAGTCATTGTTTTTGGAATTAAATCACTCTCATGATCATCAACGTCACATATTTGGTTATCCTCAGCGATACAGAAATGATTCGAATGTGCTAGCTTTCTTTTCTTTTTATTTGTTTCTTTTCTCACTAAATGCTTAGTTCCACCCATTTTTTTCACTTCACTTACACAGTTTGCTACTACCTGAAAATAATAATCCCTCTTCGAATCCTTAAAAACTTTATTGCGTTCAATCTTGTTATCAATACCTTTATTTTAATTCATTATAAATTTTACAATGATTCATATTTGAAACACTACTTGTCCTGTCTTTTTCTACGAAACAAGGAATTAAGGCCATTGAAGCTTTGATAATAATTTTGCTCTGCTATTTTTGTCTGTTTTTGTAGTCTTTCTTGTTTCCTGTTTAAGTAGCACTTGTCCTTAAACCTCTAAATTACGTCGGACGTACTAAGCGGACTCTCCTTTTCTCGCGTGTTGACATATTTTCCTCAATGTCAAGTTAATGAAATATCAATTTCTGTTTGGAAAGGTCAATGGTTCCTCTTACTCGAGTTCCATGGCAGACATATCCAGAATTTTCCTCCAGGTCCTCTGTGTGCCTATCGAGGGTTGAATTATTCAATTCGCATCTGTTTCCACCAATTGCATTTGATGTTTTCAAATTATAACTTGCGCAATTAGGTACCCTGAAGCAAAGCGCTTTGCAAAAACCCGCCCTGTATTTTCATGAACCTGCATCGCGTGTGGAGAATGATCATTAACTCATGTTAGTTCTGCAAAAATACGTTAGAACATGATTGAAAAAACTAATCTTAACTTGTGTTGATTGAGATCTGAGATTTCGAAATATTATACTGCTCCTCTTTCATGGGTTGGTCTGAGTTCAAGCACATGATTTTCAGCAATAAACAGTTTTCTTTTTTTATTTTGATACAACCATGCAATGATTGGTTGGCTGAATGAATAACCTTTAACTAGCTAAGTAAACTTCAGGCATAATTCATAACTTGAGGGTTGTGTTTTTATTTTTACGGTAATTTGAATTTGAAAATTAAAAAAAATTTTGAACATCTGAATCAGAAAATTTTAGCAAGAATAAAAAATGGCTAGCCTCTTAGTACACTTAAATAGCAGAGCATTAATTCAGACCTTAGGGCTTATTGCAGTAATAAATTTTCAATTAATAATTAATTTTCAGTTATAATAATTTTTGTTAAATCGGTATAAGTCATAAAACGATTACAACAAACATTCAGGGTCAGACTTTATTTTCATATGCAATGTAATATTTCTAAATTGATGAAACTGATACATTTAAGTAGACACAGCTGTGATTTCTATGTCTAAGTATGCCACTTTGTTCTCCACGGATTCATTTGCATCGCTGCCTGAAAGGGTAATTATATGATTTCCTACCACGGCCTAACAAAAACAACTGTGGTCTTTCTGTTAATTTTGTGTCTCGAACCTCATAAATATTTTAACACATCGATCCAACTCAGTTGGGCCACATTTAAAACTCTAAAATCATTTCTCCTTAAATGTTAAAATTTTTATACCATGCGAAAAGTTTTTGCAGACACAAAGAACACAAAAAATAGCATTCGATCTTTGATAGTGCACTATCCGTACATTCAATCGAAGGAGAAAATAAGAATGAAGTTAATTAAGCGCTGATTTGGTCACAAGGCCTCATCAGTTAGCATAAGTACTTAGCTTTAAAGCGTCTTATGTAAATATTGACCATAATTTATGCATTTGTGACATTTAAGAGAGATCTTTTCCACGCAATCTTTAAATCGACGTCGCTTCTTATGTCGAACTAAAGTATTGAAGATGAAATGAACCCAAAGGCCACAAAAAGATTTCCTTTACAATCGACCTATGTAACAGCCTTCATCATATCTCTGAAGACTTTTCTCCCCATTACCGCATTTCTTGGCAATGTCTTCATCCTTATTGCCCTTCTCACAGGCCTCATTACGAGCCAAGGTTTGCTTTTTTGCTGTGCATATGATACCAAAGTTAGCGTCCATCAGTAATAACCTTTCAAACTACAGCTAACAATCGGGTGGTGGTTCATATGTTATTTTCTGCGCAACATCCATCTTTACATCGACTGCAATAAGCATAAACAGACAAATTACTCTTGCTTTGGGCCTGGTATACAGAAATGTCCCATTTTTTTTTTTAGGGCTATGCCTGTCAACCTCCATCCAGCCTGTTATATCAAAATTTATCTCCTTCTTCACCGTCATCACCGGCAAGTACATGCGTAGCATGGGTTCAGTTTACATAAGTTATCTGCTATATGTCTTATATTGCAGCGAATATGCTTTGCACTTGGAAGAAAATGCTCCCAAAGGTTGCTGTGGTCCTTTTTCATGTCGCACTTTCAGTCCTGTATTCGAATTCGTCTCTGAACCCCATACTGTCACGGTCTTGAAGATCCAAGAAATGAAACAAATTTTGAAAACTGAAATCAGGGTATTGATATGGTTTTTAAAATCAACCTAAATCTTTCCTTTAGCATTTTTGTAGAGAATTCCTGTCCGAGCACGTTTCCAAAATATCTGTTCATCTATTTCAATTTATCTTATTTATTCCGTTGCAAAAATGTGCCAGATATCTCAGATGATAGAACTGCGTCTCATCTGTAAAACTCAATTCAGTGGTCGCGAAACTGTGCTCGTCTAAAGAATTTAAGAAGTCAATTTTTTCTCGAGAAAAATTACCAGCGGCTTATCAGGGGCAAAAATAGTTTTCTGGCTATGGGTTCCCTCCAGTTGATGTCTACTAAAGTAGGTTCATAGATACCAATCGAAGCTAGGTAATCTTTATGAAAAAATGTATTTTTTGGGAAGCCACTGATTTGTTAACGATTGGTTGAAGCATTTATCTCTGCCTATATCGAGGTATGGATGTAAGCAGGAAGATTGCAGAGCACGAGAGAAGCAAAAGAGTTTCTCGAGTTGAAGCCGAGACCAACTTCAGCTTCGTGAGTGCTTAATACATCCAATGGAGGACTCTGTGCTTAAAGGCACACGTACAGTTCTCCGACTGTTGTTAATTGCCTTTAATTTTGTTCGTATGTTTTTCTTACATCACACGAACTCAAGAAACATCTCCTCTGATATTCCGTGCACTTATGAACTCTCCATTACATTAACATGAAGACTAAACCTTTACTAGATGTACATTGTTACAATAAAGTATGCTAATGCGATGATAAATTAAAAACACACACAGTTAAACATGTATCGAATAACCACTAGAAGTAACTATCACAAAATGGTTTTGAATATTCTTTACACAGGTGTATTTACACTGAGTTACAAATAAAACTCAACAGTTGATTTTTATCGTCGGCAAGTCAAACATTGGTCGAGATAATTATAAACATAAAACTGTAAATTCATACAAGGGTACTTTATTTCAAAGCCTTAAAACTAAAACCGTGGTGAAACATGCCGAATTAAGGTTGTCATTAGTTATTAAATTATTCACGAAAATTTTATCTGAAGAATAACAAAAATTGTAGTAAACCGCCACTAGGTTTTCATCCTAACTTCCTGGCAACAGGTTACTATTTGCTCTCATTTTGTGTCCTGAGCACACACAGCTCAAAGGAAAAAAAAAGTACAAAAAAAAAAAAAAAGGAGTAAAACTGTACAGACGTCATTTACAGTTTGATATCCATTACAACTTGTTCAAACGCCAGTTCATAGATGAAATCAGTTTTTCCTCTCGTCTCACTTCTAACCTCAGCAAGTGACGTGTTCATCGCTGGCTCTCTTCCGAGAAAACAACGTGTAGTTAGAGCTTGTCGAAACTCGACAATTCGTAATGCATAAACAACCGGATTGACAAAAGAGTTGAAGTAATTTATAAGGTTTACCATGAAATAAAATTTGAATTGTACTGGTAAAAGACAGAAAAATTTCAAGAAGTTTGATATTATTAAAGGCAACCAAGCCAGCAAAGAAAGGCCAGATACAAATAACAAGGTCTTTGTCAAGCGCTTGTTTTGCAAGTCTCTGTTTTGCTGGTGTAAAGTGGCGACACTACCACTCTGAAACTTTCGCCAAATACCCATGTAACAGCCACACATTATTAGCACGAGAATCAAAGTATATAGCCCCCAAACAAACATGGTGTGCTTGGTAGAAAGAAGGAGGTTTGATCCAGTCCAGATCGCCGATATAAATAGGGTAATTATCCACACGATAATAATAAGGATACGGTATGTTCGAGTTGATAATGTTCGATGCTTAAACGGCCAATACATGGCGTAAAATCTCTCACAGGATATGAAGGCTGCAGAAATGATTGAAGCCTGTGAGAAGAATGTATCAAAGGCCAGGAAGAAAATATAGAGACGATTGTTACTGCTCAGGTTCCCAATCCGGCTGGTCCACAGCTGGAAATAGAAGCCAACATCATAAATGTATATAGGTAAACCAACAGCTCCTAAAAACAGGTCAGCAAACGCCATATTGATGGGTAAAAATAAATTTTTCTTGCGAATGTTTTTGTTTTTTGCAAAAAGAATAATAGTGATTAAGTTCCCCGCAACAACTAAGACAAATGTCAGCATAAAAGCACTACACAATGTGACTCCTTCCATTCTGGAGGGAGAGTTCTTTGATGAATCAAGATCTTGTCTTGAGCCGATGGTAGAAGCAGAGGTATTGTTCATTGCAGAGGTTATGGCAAGACGAAAACGCCGAGGTAATGAGGAGAACAGTCGAATGATGTGTACAAACCGAGGTTACAGCCAATTTTGTGTTTCCTTGAAAAGATCACTGACCAATTACGAATACAAAAGCTCCACTGTGATTATATTTTTTCTGGTTTCCTTCCACTATCGAACGATAGTACTTTAACAATAGGAAATGCGAAGTGAAATTAAGGGCTTCATAAGGATGGCCTTGTCCAAGCGCTGAGGATCTTAGCCTTCTTTAAAGCCAAAGGTGGCCGTAACTTTTGGCGAATCTGTATGACGTGAGCGGTCCACTTTCCATAAAAGGAATCTAAGCCTTTTTAGGCATATTCTTGGTTCAGTCCTCTTTTTCAGCCAATGGATGGCTTTGTCTGAGCAGTTTGCACATCTATCGAATTCCTTTAGTTTCAGATAGGCTTTCATGCATCAACTATTTAATTGAGATTTTGTATGATGACCGTGAATTGCGAGCCCTTGGAAGAAGGCATTATTTGTCTGCAAATATTCAAGATTCCCTGTCATATTCCGTGTCCTAATTAACACTCTTACTTCCCCGTTTTATAATTAAATCAATGGGTAAAGCCGCATCTATTTCAGTTTGTGTCTAACGTTTTTGCTAATTTATAATTTTCAATTGTCGGTGGAGGTCAAAACTTGCATGCACGAAAACATGATGGTAGCAAGAGCAAATTGTCGCCAGTCAAACTAAATTTTCTTTTTGAACCTCGAACCTCATAAATATTTCAAATGCAATTAACAGAGAAGGCTAATCTCTTTAAGGCTGCGGTGAAACGTTTTATTATCATGTTTGTTATACCGGTATGAGCCATAAAACGACTTTAACAAACATACAAGGTCAAACTTTATTTTCATTTGCAATGTAATATTGCCAAATGGATAAGACTGTTACATTTAAGAAGACACAGCTGGGATTCCTATGTCTTTGTATGCCCCTCTCTTATCCACTAAGCAAACGGGTTCACTTGCATCGTTGCCACAAAGGGTTTTTAAACAGTGTCCTACTACGGCAAAAGACAAAATACTGTGGTTTTTCTGTTAATTTTGTGCCTCAAACCTCATAAATATTTTAAAACATCGATCCCACTCATTTACGCCACATTTTAAACTCTAAGAGTCATTTCTCTTTAAACGTTAAAATTGTTCCTATGCGTACAGTTTCCACAGATACAAAAAACACGAAAAATAGCATTCGATATTTGATGGTGCTCTGCCAGTATATTCAATTAAAGAAAAAGAAAAAAAGGAAGAGTAAAAGTACTAATTTTCATGTAAATATTGACCACAAATTAAGTATTCGTGATATTTTACAAAGATTTTTTCCACGCAATCTTGAAACCGATTTCACTTCTCATGTCTAAATTGAGTATTGAAGATGAAACAAAAACGCAACGGACGAAAACAAATCTCCATTACAATCGACTAATGTAACAACCTTCATCATATCTCTGAACGTTTTTCTTTCCATTACTGTCTTCATCTTTATTGCTCTTTACAAGGTGACTTCGATTTCGCCTCACACGAAACTTTTGTTTCGATGTCTGGTGTCTACCGATCTTCTCACACGTCTCATTACGCAACTTCTTTTGCTGTGCATATGATACCAAAGTTGGTGTCCATCAACAGCAACCTTTTATACTACAACCAATAAGTGGGCGGTGGTTCAGGTGTTATTTTCAGCCCAACAACCATCTTTACATCGACTGCAATAAGCGTAGACAGACTAACCACTCTTGCTTTGCGCCTGGCATATAGAAATGTTGTCACATTAAGGCGAGTTCGAGCGGCTGTGTTTTGTTTTGGTTGTTGAGTTGTACTTTGGGCGGATGGAGATACACGAAAACATAAAGGCACTCATTTTTTAAAACCAACATTTCTACCTAACACGAGAATTACTTCTATTTTTAGAAAAAAGCGTTTTCAATCATGACGCGGCGAGATGAAGGTGTGATATTTTTACTCACAATGCCGAAGATGCGAGTTTTAATCGTCTCTTTCGGTAAACAAGACAGGTCTTGCTTGAAAGTAAGTCTCTCTCATCCAAAAAAAAATATGTATATATATATCATAGTTTTATAGCGGATTCTAACAGTCTTTGTCAAACGTATACAGCCATCAACATAATTTTTCCAAGGGTGAGTGCTGACCTTGTTTCTGGAGCACGGTTGTTTTCGTACGATGCGCTCATTTTCCATAACCAACATTTCTAAATAACACGAGGATTCTTCTTACAGAAAAACGCAGAATTCTGGCAACCATGTTGAGATACAAGATGAACTGAGAAAGGGAATTATTCCTAGTTTTTACGAGAGCATGTATTTTCAGCTATTTTCGTTTACAATCAACACGCACCATGGCGAGGTGTGATATTTTTATTCGCAAGTCTCTTGATGAAAAAGGATGATTGTTTTTTTATCTTTAATCTTTTCCTTCGCAGGGGAAAAAAAAAACAGGTCTTACTTCAAAATAAGTTTCTTTCACTACAAAAATCTTAGTTTAACAGTGGATTCTAAAGTCTATGACAGCATACAGCTACCCATCGACACCTTTTTTCTAAATTTTTCTCGGAGCGGGCGTTGTGATTTTGTCGTTTTTCGTTGAGTGTGCAGCATATAAAAGAGAAGGTGCGATTTTTTTTTATCCAAAAGCTAAACCGGTCTTCTTGCTAAATAAATCTCTCTTCTATGAACACAGGCCGACCGCACTATGTCTTGTGGTTAATTTCTGTCAATTGTGGTTGATATTTTACTTATTTACACGATAAAATCAGCTGTTTCTTTGGAACGCACAAACTGTAAAAAGTTCACAACCCGTTTTCAAATAGAAGATCGCAGCGTTATGTTATATCTGTTATTCTGGCTGTGTTCTCTTTTACTGATGCCCACGTCAATTTGAAGCAAATAAATTTTCCCTTTATTTGCCTTCGTTCACCTTCTCTGCTCTTAATCCTGGTAACTCGAAATAGCTACATTTTTTTCCCAAAAGCTATCTACTGACACAATTTCTGCATGGAAACCTAAAAACCAAAGTGATGGCAAATCTTTGACTTTCAAGTCAGAATTAATAGTTGTGTAGTTAAAAAAAATATAAATAATATGATGATAATGATAAAAGACGAAAAAAATTTTGAAGCAGCTATCGATTTTTTCATACAATCGCTTCTGTATTAAACGGTCACCCAAGGGAAATGGTGGGGTGACCACTAATTACAGGTTAACCGTCAAATGACTTAAAAGTGAAAAGGGGTAAGTTTCTAAAGAAACTGTGGTGCTACGTCGATGGGAGAGTATAACAGGGTAATTTAGTATTATAAATTAACTGAGTTGATAACGTAAATTGGAAAAGACAAGATAATTGGAAAAAATTACAATCAAGACTCATCCGAAGCGCAGTCGCTGGACACTTTAATCTCCGCAATCATTCCAAGAAGCATATGGAAGTTTGTCGCGTTTCTCTTCATCTGGGCGGTTCGGACAGCCACAAAACACTAGAACAAAGAGCTATCTTTCAAATCGGCATTTTCAGTTAATCCTCACAGTATCAACGAGCGCTTTTCGTTCAACTAATTCATTCTTGTTGTCTCGTCACCATATTCCCATCAATAGCTTAGCTCCATTTTGTGCATTTATAAACAACTCACAATTTCTCTATTCACTCTGACGAAGGGCTAACGCTCTAAACGTCAGCTTGGAAACTCTTTAAGGTGGTCAATTTATGTTTTCAACTCAGTTAATAATACTACATTGCCCAAATAACAAATGCAGGGTGACCACTTGATATGCTGCCGCCTATACAGATTCGACCGTATTTAGGTTAAGGGTTTGAAGTTGGAAACTCTCGATAACTCGAACCATTTCGAATTAAAAGAGTCTTCTGTAACTCTTAAGAAAGGTATCTTTGTTTATGTATTAAATTATCTTACCAAATTTCCGTCAAAATTGGATTAATGCAAAATTTAGTCGACATGAGGTTCCAAAGCTCAAAAAATTTGCTCATAAAGCAAGGGACCAAGTTAATATGGAAATAAAAGTTATGCGCTTCCACCTTAACAAAACTTTGAATTGGACAATAATAACTAAGATGATCTGAAAGATGGTTCAACTTTTATTCATTCGTGTGCTAAGGGAGCTCATTTGAATTCTAGGATCATTTCTGTCTCGCTTTTCAGGTGGGAAATTCTACAAGCTAAAAAAAAACAACAGCAACAACAACAACTAAAAAAACAAAACAAAACAAAAAAAAGCAAGGTTTGACTTAAACTTATTACCATAAATTTTCGCAGGAAAACAAAATGGATGGATAATGAACTTACCTGGCATCAGGACGTTAATTGAGTGGAACAAGAAAGTTTAATTATTCTAAGCAGAACTAAACTGTAAGTGGCAGTGACAGTTATTGAAATATTTTCCTCCAGTTAACTAATTTTACCCACTGGGTTTCGGTTGTTGTGTTAGGCGGCGGCACAAGAATATATTAACATGTGTGGTGATTTGTATAGTTGTCGCGACCAGTTATTAACTGTTGCGTGTTCCTTTGTCGGACGGCATTAAATACTCGGGCTCTTGGTTGGATCTGACAATCAAATCTGGTATATGACTCGTGAATTTGAATGTGAACCTCATTATTTTGTCCTTTGCGGGAACTTAATTAATTTCAAGCAATATCTGCCGTGGACGCTTCGCTAATAGCTCTCAAGCTTTTTATTAATAATAAAAAGAAACTGTTTCAAAATTTGATGATTCAAAGCTTCTAAGTTCGTCTTACGCCTAAGTAAAACAAATTCTAAGCATTGGCAAAATATAGTTCACGCTCCACAGTCACTGCCGCGGTACTCTTTATCGTCATGTTTGCTCAATCTGTAGAAGCCGAAAGACCAATTTAAATATTGTAAAGAGTAACAATTTATTATCGTTTAAAATATAGTATTTCGAAATTAAATGACTGTAAATATATGAAAA